TCTCTCTCTCTCTGCAACGGCAAACTTGTATGGGATTTGTTTTAATTTTTTTTAGGGCAAATCATTTCCACCTCCCAAACGCCTCCATCTCTATTCTCGCTCTCTCTCTGCAACTGCGAACTTGCATGGGTTTTGTTTTATTTTTTTTTTAGGGCAAATCATTTCAGCCTCCCAAACGCCTCCATCTCTATACTCATTCTCAACTTTGCAATATTTTTTTTAGGGCAAATCATTTCAGCCTCCCAATTGCCCTAGTCTCTCTCTCTCTGCAACTGCAATTCTGTGTGTATGGGTTTTGTTTTAATTTTTTTTCTAACTCAACTAATCAAGCTCTATAATTCTTGTTTTGCAAACTAATCAAGCTTTGTAATTAATTTATTTTAATCATCAAAAAAATAATAATAATAATTTCTATTCCAAAATTCTCACTCTAGGGTTTCGTATTGTTCACAAACTTAAACAACATTTCCATTCTTAAAGTTTAATCTTCTAATTTCTATTTATTAATTATTGACTTTATTCTTCCACGTGGTTTCATGTCATTTAAAACATCTAGATTTGATTCATTGAAGCAATTTAAATTCATGTTTTCAAAGAAATATTTTTTTAAAGAATAAAAAATGTGAGTCCTACAATTTATACATTTTGTAGTAGTCTCTTTCAAAAGTTAATTTGAAAATTGGTCTTATTTTGCTAACCAAACCATTACTCTAATGAGTACCAACTATTGATAGAAGAGAGTTAACAGACTTAGTTAATTGATTAAGAGTAAGTATCTAAAGCTGTTAAGATTTTGTGACTCGGGACCAAGCCTATTGGGCTTAAACTACTCTGTGGACTGATCCAATAAAAATTATCACACCGAGGCCCACGCCATAGGTTGAAGTAAAATCAGGTTATTGGGCTTTAACTTCGATCCATGCTCTTCCAGGCTTGTAGTCGAACTCAATTATAGGCCTAGAAGGGGCTACAACCTATCTCAAATTGAGTTAGTTTGAACCAATAACATCCAGACTAAGTTAATTCAGACCAATAATAGTCCTTTATTGAGAGTAATTCAGGACATATAAATATATAAATAGACAATTGTGTTTAATTACTTATGATTACCTAGAAAAATATATTTGTAGATTCTTAATTACTACGATATATATATATATATGATTAATAAGTTAGTACTAGTATACTTATATATTGAAGTATATTTAATACTACCAAGTATCATATTTATTAGGTTTTGATGTAAATATTTAACGTTATTATAGTTTCACCATGTTGATCTTAACCAGTGATAAGGGGTTGGAAGAGATCCGGTGTCTTAATAATAGATTGTAAAAGCACACCATACGACGACTTTAAGACTGTATAGTCTTTGTAAGTTTATGGTAACGAGAAGTGAGTTATTTGGATCCCTACCATAGTGAGGAAAAAAAAAGACGGGGGGCTTTCTAACCGACTTGGGTACGTGTGTCGAGTGCAGGTATATATCCACAAGTCAGAATTGTCAAATTTCAAATAAAAGGACCCATGCTAAATATTTATATTATTTACTATTTTTATTTTATTTTCTTAATAAAATAATGTCTTTATGTAACAAAGTGTTTAGTATAGGCATTTCACTCATTTTGAAGCAATAATATAATAAAATTAAATTATTGGACATGTTTTTTTAAGACTATGTCTAACCAAAAGCATTGGACACATATCCCATACCCATGTCCAAATAATGTATGTCGCAATGGGTACTTCACCTACTTTTAAAGAATCCATGTACCATAGTTTCGAACATCTCAATAAAAGATCGTTTAGCAATGGTGTCTATTTTTTTTTTTTTTTTTGATAAGTAGTTTGGGAACGTTCAGAAGAGCACGATGACTCTTTTAACAAAGGCCAAATGGTCCTTTCCCTGTCCACCTTTCCATTGACTAGGGAGCCAAAATAGAGCTAAATTCGGTTGCGTCTAGAACAAGATCAATTGGGCTTTAACCCAATCCAAACCAACATCAACACCTAAGTTCCAGCCTATTAATTTATTGGGTAGGTTTGGGTTTTGGATCTCGGGCCTTTTAAATTGCTAAACAAGTTTGTTAAAAAACGAGAATCACTCCTAATTAAAATTTTTAAAATGAATCAATATAAAGATGCATAAGAAATTGCACACAAATTATGTTTAGGAAATTATATAGATATGTAGCTTTGAAGTCCTCATTGCTTTATACCGTATTGTTAACATATGATGTACAATTCCCCTTATATTCTAAGCAATTTCTAGTTTTTCAAGCAATGTAGAAAAGTTCCTGATCATATAAGAAGGATTGCACACCATATGTTAGCTTTGAATCAATAACTTTTCTATAATCAATTTTCCAACATTAAAACATCTAAAATGAGTGAATTTAATTTTTTAATGTAAGGTGCTTTTGTAAAATATCTGTCAACACTTATAAATAAGATAAGAGGAATGGATAATAATGTAAGCATCTAAAGACATGCAGCTAATGAATTGAGTAGCAATGTATATTCAATTTTATGAACACTTGAATCAAATGATGTCAAAGTAAATGAATTAGACAAGCTTACCTATCTCCTAAAACATGCCCGGCCAAATTTGCAACTTCTGTCAAAGCTTCCTTCCACTTCTTTATCTTGTTCATTCCCTGCTCTTTTCTTTCATCGGACTCGGACATAAAGTTCTCTTCACGTTTAACAAATGCTTTTGCAAAACTTCCATTTTGCTTTCTAACATGAGATGGATCTACATGGTAGAACACGGGCACAATCGTATGACCAACACTCTTCTTGCGTTCAAGGATCTTTAGAAGTTCATCAAGGCACCATGTTGAAGATGTATAGTCTTTTGAGAAGACAATTATTGAAATCTTCGACTCTTCAATTGCCTTTATCAGTTCTTTGGAGATATCATCTCCTCTCGCAAGTCCATCATCATCCCTAAATGTGCGTAATCCAGCATGTAGCAGAGCTGTATAAAGGTGATCGGCAAAGGTCTTTCGGGTGTCTTCACCTCTAAAGCTCAAGAAAATATGATAAGAACACCGAATTGAGGACGGTTCTTGGGATCTTATAGCAGCCATTGAACAAAATCAAGGAGATGAATGAACAAGGTTATATGCAATCTGTACAAGCACAATAAGTATTTTTTTAAGAATTCAATAAATAAATAAAGGAATAAACTATAGGCCAAACTTCTTCTTTTTTTTTCTATATATATAATAAAAAATAAATAAATAAAATAAAAAATAAAAAAAAGCCCTTACAATATTGTAGATAACCCCTAGTGTGACAAATACCCCCTAAATAAATCCTGACTTCCAAGGTTTTGTTATTTCCACATTTTGCTTTTCTTCTTCTAATCTGGAGAGGCATAGAGATTTACGGGGTTTGGTGTGTTCTATTTTAATTCTGATCTATCACAGTGTGACCTATGATCTCTAAATCTCTTCCTCCCTATTCAATGGGTTCGTTTGTGAAGATTGGGGGAAAAATAAGTTGTAGATATATATATTTTGATCATGAACTTCGTATAGGTATTGCATCGTTGGGAGCGAATATCTGTTCCCCGATTTTATGTATTCGATTCAGAGTGTTCATATCACCGGAGCCCGTCTCTTTTGTATCTAGTATCTACTGATGATCATGAAGATTCCTTTGCATAGCAGCTTTCTTAAGTGATATATATGTATAACATATGATTGTTCTCCCAGATAGATTTACTATTACATATACATATGATTGTTCTCCCAGATAGATTTACCATTACATATATTAACTTTATGGTTTCTCTTACACAACAAATTGAAGTAGAAAGAAGACAAAACATACCAATAAATAAATAATAATAAATAAATGTGTAATGATATATATGTAATTAACTTGTAATACAGAGCAAGTGTGTTGCAAAGGTAGAACTTTGTACCTGTAATTCCGGAAGAAATTAAGATTCCTCCTTCCTTGATCAATTAATCAGTTGACAGACGGAGAGGGGCAGAGCTTAGTGAGCCGATATAAATAAAGAAAAGAGGAAAATGTTCTTCCTTGTAAATGTTCTTCACACTTTAACAACAAATAAACACAAATATTGAAGTTTGTACTTTACCCAGACCTTGGAAGTCAAAGTTTGTGTGCTGAATTTTATTTTATTTATTTTATTGTTTTTTGCCCCAACCTTTTTCTTCTTTTCTTACCATCTTCCGTGGCAAAATTACATTAGCAGGTCCACTAAATTAGGCCATGTTTGATAATTGTTTTTGTTTTTTGTTTAAACTCAAACACAATGAGTATTTATATGTAACTTTTGTTTATCGATAAATACATATATTGTTTAATAATGTAAATGTTTGTCTTATTTTAAAAATAATAAACAGAAAAACATGTTTGTTAACATTAAATTATTTTTAAAAAATTTAACACTAATTTTAAACAAATAATAAAAAATAAAAATAAAAAGACTTCAATACTGGAAAGGATAAAGTTATGTTTTTGTTAATACTATTCCAAAAATGTATGCATTCAATGATGAAGAAGCATGAAAAATGCAACAATGTAAATAATTTCATTTAATTATTCACAAAGACAACCACAATTTTGTATCAAAACTCAATTATTTAACCTTTCTTTAACGTTTTTCCCCTTTTTATCTTTTCTTTAACTAAATTAGACCAAAAATGAACCATCAACTTTGATCAATGCTTGTGGTCTCATTTTAAAAAATAAATAAATAAAACAAAAATATTTTAATCCAAGCTACATAATAATGTGATGTATGCATTATTTTTTACCTTAATAAATAACCATGAGGTCCACCTCGAAAATACTACGATTTGTGGATAAGTTTATCAAAACCGTGAACTGAAAAAACAAGCATAGTTTTAATTAGATGCTCTGAACCAATTCATATTTGTCGCGTGAACCCTTATCCCTATCATTATCATATTCCCTATAACCGTTAATAACCCCGACTTTCATCCCCATTCAAACATACTATAGACCTCTCTCTCTCTCTCTCTCTCAACACCAGTATGGAGAAAGAAGCTGATGACATGAGGACCTTCGACATGGGTGCTCTGAGGACCAACCTTCCACAAAAGTAAGAATTATTACAGTCATTGATATGTTTTTGATCCTTTGATTGTGAATCCATTTCTAGTAACACAACTGTAATGGAACTCTGTTGTTCAGCAGAAGAGGCTTGTCCAGATACTACTCGGGGAAATCCAAAACATTTAGATGCATCGCTGACGCTCACTGTATGGAAGATCTCAAGAAACAAGAACATCACGAAGCGAAGAGGAGGAAGAAGCAGCACACGGACCATCAGAGAACGCTTGTTCCTCCTTTGTCGTGTCGGGAAGTGTCAACTAGCACCCAGTGTGCTTCACCTGCTGTTGTTGGCATGTAAACACAGAAGGAGAAGCAATTTATGATACTTCCTAGTTTGTTTTCAGTGAATTATGAGACATGTTGAGTTATGTATTCAGAAATTATAAAACAAGGTAACAGACAGAAATTTAGAAGCTTTCATGTGTTAATAAACATTGTACAGCAAAGCTTTCCTGAACTTCTATCATTACCTTAAACTTTCCAGAAAATCCCCTGAAAGAATAGAAACAGTTTAATCTACTTTCCAACAAAATGTTCTGATAATTACAATGTTCAACCCAACTGTTAAACTAGGACGGCTACAAATTGTTGCTATGCTTGAACTAAGAGTGAAAACAAAAACAATTACATGTATCTGACTGAAGATAATGTAACAATCTAAGTTACAAGCATCAAAAGAATTGTCAGTCTCTATAATGGTACAAAATTAGGATGTGAGAGGCCGTCAAAAGTCAATGTGCGAGCAATACCTATAGCGACCTCTTCTTGATCATGTTGGCATTCCCATCATCGTGCACGACAACAGCATCGTCAACGTCATCTTTATCAGAAACAGTGGAGAGATCAGAAGTGACGGTGGTAAAACTTGCAGGCAGCTTTCTTTTCTTCCCAGCGAGAACATTCGTGGTTTCTGTTGGCATTATTTCTATGTCCCCGTCTTCTACGGTCTCGAGTGAAACCACTTGAGATACATTTGATGTGCTTCCACCATTGTCAGTAGATACATCATTCTTCTTCTCTTTCGCAGGAACTTGAGTCCATCCAGAAAGAATCATCTCATCCGGTTCCTCCTTTTCATCAAATTCCTCCCTGTAAAAATTAAAAAGCAAATCCACTTTTTAATTACTGAACAGTAAAATGATTCCTTATTGCTAATTTACCAACTTCGATGATGAAAAACCTTGAATCAATGAATACGACAAGATGATCATGAACCTACACTACACTCACCTCAAAAAGCATGATAAAACTGCGCCGTAGAAAGAACACATGTACATGAATATGGGACGTATGTCCAACAAATATGGTTGGACACGCACATAATCCAATAATTCAATTTTTAATACTATTATATGAAATCTTCTATCATGTTCCTTTTGCTTCAAAAATGAGTAAATACATTGTTTTTCTTTAAAAAATAAAATAAATAATAAATAATAAGAATATTACTCTTGTCCCATGTCCTTAGTTTTGGAAAATTGATATATACAACACCTAGACAAATTCTAGAACCCATCACGCGCATCCGAGTCCATATAAAAAAATAGTTGATTGATTAGAAACTCATCATCCACAAATTGCTTCCAAATGGATACCAGAGTTCAACTGATGCAGCTAAGTGAATAATTTTAGACAGAGGTTCCGGTTACAAAATTCCGCAATCAATATAGAGTTCAAGCAATACTCAGAAGACAACTTCCAACATCCTTTTTTTCATATAGTACATTAAACTGTTTGGCTTTAGTAAGGAATGCTCCAGTGTCAATCCCACACAAAATATTCGCAAATTATAAATTGGTATAAATTTGCAACAGGTTAGGTCATAAATACTAAAAAAAACAGCAAAAAGAAGCAATTCAATAAACAGCAACACACTATTGACTCCAGCAATCTCAGGTGCTTGAACATTTTTTTTTTTTTTTTTGTGAAATTAAACTTGCTTAAAACCAAAACCCAAGTAGTAAATTGCCAAGACAAACCTATGTTTGATATTGATATTGCACTTCAGTTCTTGCTGAAGATCCTCAACTGTAAGCATCGTTCCACCAATCACTGGAGAAGGAAGCTCGGATAGCACCTAAGGAAAAGACATCAGCACTCGACATAGAATATCCCAAAGAATAAAACCATGACAACACAGAGCGAGACATGTACCTTCTCAAAATTTGCTGCATAGTTGGCTACCATATCTTCATCAAGATCATCACCAACCTCATAAAGAAGGGCAGGCCCGTGCATTATCAAGGGAAGACTCATACCAAGCTTCGCTTTAACAATCTTTTCAACGAAATCCCTCAACTTTGAACGGTGAGTATTAACCTCAAGCAATAGAGGTGTCTATTTCCAAATATATTGCATAAAATCAGAAGGCAGTTGTGGACCAATACTTGGAAGGAAAAAAAAAAAAGGAAAGAAAATACAGGAAAGAAAAGAATGTTAAACACACCTCAGAACAAACATAACATGATTTGTTTGGCTCAAAAGGCTCCACTGGCATAAGAAGCATCTTTTTTGATGGATGTTCAAGACAATATGTCATCCTATACACATTCAGAATTAGCCACTTAAAGACTCATAAGAATTTTGAGCTTACTGCATTATAGATACTACTCAGAAAAATTAACTTCCCAATCTCATGAAGTTTTGCAGACAAAAACAATCTAATGACACTTCTAAGAAGAGAAAGAAAGAGAACAGATAAATTATTTTGATATAATGAAAACTTGTTTATCAATCAGAAACATCCAGCATTCAAATCTAAGTCTCCATATTGACTAATCAAGGAATCAGAACAATTGTGCCCATTAAGGAAAAATTGGACAATAGATTTAAAGATCATAAGTTCATAAGAGTACAGCCCGTATATGCAACCCAATTGAATCCACATTTTGTATAAAAAAAAAAAAATGACGCCAGCACTAGTAAAGAATCTCTCATTTAAATAAAAAGGACTGGAATTTCAGATTCTAAGTTCAAAATTAAAGCAACCATCCTGTTATGTTTCAGTGGCTTCAGAATTAGCATGGAAAAGTACACTGGCCAACCATGAAATTAATGGAATTCCAGTAACATAGACTGAATCACGCATTAAAATGCATAAGTTAACTATATCTACTGGAAAGAAGAGGTTCAGAACATGATTCATAAAAGAAAATACAGTCCACAGCTCATATAAAGGTAAAGGAAGTGAGCCCCACCTATAGCTGTTTATATCCTGTTGCAGCACCTTAATTGCTTCAATAACAATTAACCCAGCAATCACAGCATTTGTTGTTGCAACAGCATGTACAATATTACCAGCAATACCTTTAGCTTCAAAAAGGCTATGCAAAGGAATCCCAAAAGAAGAAGCACGAATATTTGCAGCGGCTGCTACGAATTCTACAGCCAAGTGATCATCCTTATCAAAACTCAAGTTCCCAATCTCCTGCCAGAGAGAGAGAGAGACTTCAGTGTCCTATGGATTTAGGTATATAAACAAACAAAAAATTCAAGGGCTGTAACTGTAAAAGAACTTGGAAAGCAAGGGGCCCAATGAAACCTTCTCTCTTTTAAGAAAAAATAGCTTCAGCGCTTCAAGAAATATTTTTGAATTCTCAACTAGGCTCCATACATCTTGAGGATTTTTCAGACCCAGAGATGCCATTGCAGATACAGATGAGGGATCATCAGATACAATAATTTTATCGGCGGTACCATTAAGCTGAGTCATTTCAGCAGGCAGGACATCTTTAGTATATATAGGCCTTGGCCTGTTACGGTTTTTCCATGTCTCTTCATTAGATAAAGCTACTTCAATGTTATGACCAAAAACATGGTCATATATTCTCCTTCCATATTGCTCAATTTCTTCATCCTTTTTACGTACAAAAACATCTTCAGCATGTTCTGATGAACTAGAAGCATCACTAGAACGCACATTCAGATCATTTTCCTGATTCTTATCCCCAAACAGCTTTGCAAAGAGCAAGTCCTTTGCCCATACAATACAGTGAACAAACTGCAACATCAAAACTATAATGTCAGAGCAGAAAGTTAAGGAACTGCAACATTGAAAAAATGATCTCAAAGCATACAACTAGTGGAATAGGAATCATCTTCAAAATGAGGCAGACACCATGTACTCAAGTCTGATGACTAATGGCATTCTCTTCAACTTCTAGAATAGCAATTAAATATCAATAAAAATTCTTTTAAAAAAGTGCAAACTTGATGCCCTTCCAAAACATACACAAAACCAACCAAGATGAACTCATTAGAACACAATTTCATGTGCTATCGTATTTTGAACTAATTAAATTTGAACCCAGTTTAAAATAACTTATCCATCTATTTTATTGGTGTGCCAGATATATGAACCATCTAATTATAAAGCAGTAACCACACAACTAAAAGGACTCACGGTCTGGAGCATACTTAATCACAATAGCATATAGTCTTAGTAAAGCTCACATGGGACTCTTCACACAGGAAAAATGGAGACAAGACAGTACATCTAGATGCCAATACCTTTGATGGAGTACTTGTAATAGTACACACAGGATAAGTTTTTGGAGCCGGTTTTGGCTGGCATTCATAACATTCTGTTTTACCCTTCACGTGTACAGTGACCTGCATCCCAAAAAAAAACAAACAAAAAAAAAGGAAAAAGAAATGAATAAACAGAACTTTATCACAACCAACCATAGAAACCAATTAGGATAGGTGAAAACAAAGTATATATAGTCAGAAGAAGATGCATTAGAGTATTTCAATAATATCTGCAACCGGAGCTAAATTAATAAGGTACAAACAGGAAGAACTGTATTGGCACTATAAGCACAGGTACATCAGGAGGGACAGACCCAAGAAATTATGAGGGGGGCAATAGGGGGATTTTTATTTACAAATATAGGGATATTCTTGACAATTTGATCAAGATGTCGACTACAATGTCAAAATGGACACTACGAGAAGTTTCCTATCCAAATTTATTATTCTCCCTCGATCATTATACAATAGCAGGAGCTTTTTCCCCTCTAAGGTAGGCTGGGAAGATAGATGTCGCAGTCACGGAAGATATTGTTCAACGAGCAGTAGTTGACTAGATCATTCAATACAATTTAGTAACTCATATTGCACTACTTATATACCAATAGAAATTTGCAGAAATTCATCTTGCTGTCGACAGGTAAATACTCAAATCACAGACTACGCATATCCATCACCAAGTGAGATAATCCTAGAAAGCTTCATTTTTCAACATGCTGTCAGAGAAGCTGCCATCTTCCAAATCAAACAAAAATCCTGTAAGGCCGGATAAGAAGTTTATACCTTAATAAGATCAAGCCATTTCTCACTTAAATCCTTTTTCCAACTTGCATTTCAGATTCTGGTTCAAAATTTTCCCTACCAGACTTTCGAGATCCCAGAAGTTCCATGATTGTTTCCTTCTTCGTGCTTGATGCAGAAAGCAAAGGAAAGAACCTTCCTACAAGCTTTTAATACCAAATCCGTGTAACCGCTTGCAATTGGTTTTATGGTGGTCTTGGGTTATGGAAAGCTTGTAGAGCTAGGGTTTTAGAAAATAGAACAATAGGTATTCAGTTGTTAGATGAAAAAAAAGCCGGAATTCGCTTGATTAAGAAAAGATAGGTTGCTCAACCTTTAGAAAGAAAGCTCATGAAAACTCTAAACAACTAATGATAATGTTTATGTTAAACTGAAGAAAAAAAAGTTCTGAAGTTTTGTTCAAAGATATGCATTTTGGAATTCACTTGGTTAAGAAATTGATAGGTTGCTACCTAGGACCTTCAAAACTAATCTAAAATAACAACACTTCAGAACTTTTTGACCACTAAGAATATTCTAAACTTACCAAGGCCAAAAATAAGACCCAAACAACAAAACTGGACCCCAATTACAACCCATGAACTATGATCCCAACCAAACTCAAAATTAGCAACATTACCCCGACTCCTAAACCCTAATAAAGTATAGAAATAATATAATACCAGTAGCATACCTATTCAAAATAAACTTAAATTAAATTTGAATAAAAAACTTGAACATAGAATGTCCAATATACATTCCATATAAAATTCCCAGTTCGTCCCTTCTCCTGTTATAGAAATAATATAATAGCAGCAGCATACCTATTCAAAATAAACTTAAATTAAAACCCGTTTGATTAAAAAACTTGATCATAGAATGTCCAATATACATCCCATATAAAATTCCCAGTTCGTCCCTTCTCCTGTTCAAATTCTCTGCATCAGTGTGGTTATCAGCAGCGGAAAATCTTGAAAATGGTCCGTCTTATATCCAAAGACGGATTATCACTATGAGTTGATCAAACATAAATTTAGCATTGAGACAATTCTCCGAGTCTCATTATTTTGCCCAGGTCCTAATAGGCCAAACCACTTATCTTTGTCTGTTTGTTCAGACAAACAAAATAGCAGTCACACATTAGAAACAAAAAAGTCAGTACTATTTTGTGTTTACTGTTTAATTATAACATTCTCCCATGTTTGGTTCTCGACAAGTATGCCTTTTAGGTAAATAATGCACAATTATTACTATTGGTAAGTAATAATGCACAATTATTACTATTGGTAAGTAATAATGCACACTTATTTCAGTTATGGATAGACTCTTAAATAATTATCAAGGGAGCCTTGAAAATCAGTTGACAGTATTGCCCGCTTCAAGCAGCATGCTCTTTTAGCCAACAATTTAATGAACATTATTAATGCATAATTGTTCAAAGTTGTAAGACATATATGAATAAATACTTACAATGTAATGATATGAAACATAGATAGAACAACCATCATTTATGAAACATAGATAGAACAACCATATGCAAGTTGAACTTGGAAATCACCTGACCCAGAAACCCTGTAGTCCCACTCTCAACCAATGGAACATCAGCCGCCAAACAAAGGCGGTTCACATGTCGCCTTGCATCTAAGTTGTCGAGTCCATTCAAAACAACATTGAATTGCTTGAAAAAGTCCACATTGAAGTCAGGATCTTTAACATTTGCATGGTAAGGTGTAATGCTAATATGGGGTTTAAATCTTAACACAGCATCCCGTGCAACCTGTTTGGAAAGTCAGCAAAATCAAATCAAGAGACCAAACTGTACATATATCAACAATGAATCTATGAATATTATTTACTCACTTTAGCCTTAGATTGACCAACATGCAACTGTCGGAACAAGAACTGTCTATTAAGATTACTCACTTCTATTGTGTCCATGTCAATCTGCAAAAGGAACCAAGAATTGTTTCAAACAAAAATTAAACCACCGAGAGAAACCCCCAAAAAAAAGATGATAAAAATAAACACCAAAATACTAGCAAATACAATATATGAAATTCACAAGTTCACAATAAATAGGGTGGCAAAATTTGACATAAACCATCAACACGACTAGAACTCAATACGAAATTAGCAGGTCATACTCATGTCAACTTGATCAACTCGCTAAAATAAACATGTCATTTTTTGGGTTTGTAGACCCAACCCTATTATAACCTAATTTGCCCCCTTCACTTTAACTAATTGTGCCAGATTAACCTCATTGGCCTGTTTCAATCTATATATAGTAATATGTTTAATTAGTATCTTAATATAGTGAAACCCTAGTTGAGCTAAAATTAAAATTCTAGTTATTAAATATAATTTAAATCAATGTTTAAATTTCCCTATTCTATTCACATTTTGAGATTAAGAAAAAAATAGGAAATAGAAAATCCGAATAATAGACAGAGTGTTCAGATTGACCCATATAGCATGATACCCGTCTTGACACGACGCAAACATGGCCTGTTAACACGAATAGACTACATTGTTAACATGATCTCAAGAAATGCAAACAAAACAATAGACGATATCAAAAACATAATTTAATTAAAAAAAAAAGAGGAGGAATGGCGGCAAGACTCAAGCAGACTCTCTACCCGTGGCAAGTGCCTATTTTGCTTTAGGATGTACCAGAGCAAAGTTTTGGGTAATCCCTTCCAATTTCTTCTAATTCTCTTCTTGCGCCATATCCAAGGTTGACTGTAGTAATGGTGGACATATATTTCTTGACAACCAGAATCATTTAAGCTGCTAGTTGGATTTTCAAAATAGTACACTCTACAATAACTTATTTTGGTGGGTCAAGACTCAAAAAATTTTAAGGTTTGCAAAGCTGGAAAGAAAGTATCATGGCTTGTAGATGGAAGAAGGTTAGAAAACAATAGGTTTGATAACGCTTCCTTCTTAAATTCCAGAAAATTTCTTATTAAAAACCTGTGTAGTTCAATGGAAAAACAAATGTGAAGAAGAATTAGCAGAAGAATGCAAGAAGACAGAAAAACACCAATTATGTCAATTTCTTCCATCAGATGATCGGCCGCAAAGCGTGAGATGCAGGTACAAGTCTTTCAGCCATCATTTTCAGTAATTAATCCCAATATTAATGTCAGCATCCATTATGCCCCTTCCAGCAGCCATGAATAAAGACTACTCCAGGTACTACATTTTTTTTAATTCCACCAGACTAAGGCTTCCATCAACTGAATTTTCTTTCTTCACCAGGTTAAGACTAATTTACGTACTTCGCTTCAACTCATTACAGGAAGACAATACGCAGTTCTGCAACCCATTACTCATTACTTCTTGTATCAAAAAGGATTGGGATCTTAAAAAGGAACACTAATTCGCATCTAAGGAAATGGCGTGGGCTATGATTGATACAATGAAGAATCCTTTATTCTGTATTCCCTAGTCCTTTCCACTAGCTTGCACAAACACTTCAACATCAATCTCAGTTCCCTAGTCCTTTCCACTAGCTTGTGTACAGGTCTCCGACTGATTTTTTCAGCAATTTCCCGCCTGAGGCAGGGAACCCGCTCTCCACTTTTTTGTTCATTATTGTGATGGAAACTCTCCGTAGGTTGATGAGGAGGGCAGTGGAGCTGGGTTTCATCAAAGGCTTTAGGGTAGGCAGTGACTCTTCCAGTTAGTTGGAGATATCCCACTTGTTGTTTGCAGATGACACCTTGTAGTTCTGTGATTTCTAATGAGTCTCAAATGAGATATTTCAGGTGTGTGATTTGCTTAGCTTTTCAGACATTCTTCAGCCTAAAAATCAATGTGGATAAGAGCATGTTGCTTCCAGTGGGGGAAGTTGCGGAGATCTCCGTAGTGACTGACATCCTTGGTTACAGTGTTGGATCTTTCCCTATCACATATCTTGGTCTGCCGTTGGGATCGCCTTCGAGGAGAGCGAGTAGATGGGATCTTTTGGTTAAGAGGTCTGAGAGGAGGCTTGCAGGGTGGAAGAAGCAGTATCTTGCAAAAGGTGGGAGGATAGAGAGGCGGAACTTTCTATGGGGTGGTATGGAAGAGGAGTTCAAATACCATCTTGTTTGCTGGGAGCAAGTGTGCAGGACGATTCAATCGGGCAATCTAGGAATCAAGAGGTTGGTGCCTTTCAATTAGGCGCTCCTAGGGAAGTAGTTGTGGAGGTTTAGGAAGGAGAGGCATAAACTTTGGAGGAGGCTTATTTCCAACAAGTTTGGGAAGGAGAGAGGAGGTTGGTGCTCTTTGGAGGTGAGGAGTCCCTGTGGTGTAGGTGTTTGGAAATTCATCCAGAAGGGGTGGGATGAATTTTCTAAACACTTCATATTCAGAGTTGGGGATGGCAGGGGCACTCGTTTTTGGGAGAATACTTGATGTGGTGACCGTTCATTGGCATGCACCTCCCCCGCACCCTTCTGGATTGCTTTGGATAGACGCGCTTTGGTTGTCGACTGTTATCAGCTTGATAACAGAAGGATGACTTGGGATGTGAGCTTTTCAAGACATTTTCAGGATTGGGAGTTGGATGATGCCATTGGCTTCTTGGAGATGCTTTATTGGCAGTAGGTGGATGGTGGCAGGCCTAATTCATTTGTGTGGGTGCCTTCGCCTCAGGGGAGGTTTGACGTTCACTCTTTCTTTAAGAGTTTCTTGGATGTCTTGGGGCCTGCCTTCCCGTGGAAGGCTGTTTGGCGCACAAAGGTCCCTCTTAAGGGGGCCTTTTTAGGTTGGACGACTATTAAAAGGAGGATTCTTAACTCTGGACAATTTGACGAGGAGACGGATTATTATTGATGGGTGTTGCATGTGTAAGAGAGATGAAGAGTCATTAGATCACCTTTTGTTGCATTGTCCAGTGACCTGGGACAGTTGGAGTTTGCTTTTGGGGTTGTTTGGGGTCCAGTGGGTCATGCCTCTTTCTGCTAGAGGCTTAGAGAAGTTGTATGATGGGTCTCCAAGTCCATGAATTTTGGAGGGTGGCGCCCTTGTTGAGGGAACGGAATAGGATATCTTTTGATGGCGAGGAGACTCCTATTGGGGCACTGAAATTCTCTATTCTTAGCTCTCTTTTTTCGTTGGGTTCTTAGGATATATTGTAAATCCATGGGGGGATAGTAGATTCTTTTGACATATTAGAGTTTAGGGGCCCCATTTGGCCCTTGTGTAGTTTTTGCGGGATGCGTTCCCCATTTGAACACTTTCTAATACAACCTTAATTATCGGAGGAAAAAAAAAAATGGTACCTTATAAATGAATTTAGCCAGCCCCAATTATATATACCTCTGCCCCTCCTAGCAGCCTCAGATTGGGGTCTACACAGAACTAAATTTTCTTTTTAAATCTTTATCAACTGAATTTTCATTTTCTTCACCTGCTTAAGACTAACATAGCTGCTCCGCTCCGATCAGATACAAGAAGACTAGGAAGCACGGACACTCCAAAATAGGCGAAGAATCCGTGTCCGACACGTGTCGGACACGCCCCAACACGTGTCGGACACGCCAAAAAACGTGTCTGGAATTTTTTTATTTGTTTTAATTTTCGGACACGGCTCGGACACGGCTCAGATAGCTCGGACACGGCTTGGACACGGCTTAGACAGCTCTGACACAGCTCGGACACGGCTCGGACACACTTTTCTGGATTTTTTTTTAAAAAAAATTTTTAATGCTGATATGTTAATTTTTTTTTATTTTTTTTTTTTTTTAAATTTTTAATGCTGATATGTTCTATTTTTTGTTTTGTACTACCCTAAAGATGCTGATATATATATATACTATCCTAAAGATGCCACAATTCGCCGTGTCCGTGTCCTAAAGATGCTGATATATATATATACTAACATATCAGTGATATATATATATATTCCAACCTAAACATATCAGTGTTTTTTTTAAAAAATTATTAATGCTGATATATATATATATATATACTATTCGCCGTGTCCGTGTCCTAATTTTTTTGGATTTGCCGTGTCCGTGTCGTGTCGTATCCGTGTCCCGTATCCATATCCGTGCCTCTTAGCAAGAAGACCATACCTGATTCCGCGACCTACCACTCATTACTTCTTATATCAATAAGGATTGCAATCTTAGAAAGGAACGATGTCCTTATTCTGCTACCAAATGGAGTAATGAAGACTGTTTTCTCGCGGTCTTCTTATACTCAGTTCATTCTAGTTTTGTTTTTTGTATAATTGGACCCTATAAATAAACTCTAGGAAACTTCCTAGATAATTCTAAAAGCAGAACTAGAAATATTAGAGACCGGGAACAAAAATAACCTTCAAAACCTATAGTATATTAAACACTACTTTTTGAAGCCAAATCAACAGCTGGTGAAACTGTTTTTACACAAATCCAAATGTCTCAAAACCAACACAAGCAACTTGTGCCTATGTAAACTTGTAGAGAAGAGTATCAGAAAAGTACAACTAGATTGCAAAATATGCGAAAGTAAGGAAGAATGGAGAAAAGGAAAAAGCATTTCAAAGAAAATGAATACTTTGTGAAGTGATACATTTATCACAAAAGCTCACAAAATAATGCCCTTTTTGCAATGGAAGATTTCTTGTTGCGAGAATTCTATATTTATTTTTTTAATAAATAAAAAAATAAATAAACAAAACTATTTGTGAAAAATGATATTCATCCCAAAAGAGTTTACTTATGCAATTATTGCAACAAAAAAGATATTGTCACAAAAAGTGTATTTCTTTTTTAGTTCACAATATAATAAAAACACTTTTCACGTGATGAGACTTTGTCACAAAGGTAAAAAAAGATGTTTAAATTAATAAAATTGATATGCTACGATATGTATAATATATGCAACAAATTTGTTTCCAATTGGCATGAAATAATTTGTTGCAAGTGGACTACTTCTGATGATCGGTTTTGGCATTAAAAGAT